CAGATTTGAAAGGAGTCGATTATGGTGGAGCATTGCTGGTCGTCAGAACTCGTAAATCAAGCGTTACGCTCTCCGTAGGTCATAGATCTAACCGCACTGCTTATCGGAACTTGTAAATTTTTCATCGGAGTCATGCATCTGGCCTTGCATATCGTCTATGGTGTTGCGATCGTCGTCAATGGTGTGATTACCGACATAAATCACAAATCTCGAGATGTAAGAGGACGACACAATCAGTGGATTTGGTGTGTGTGTGTGTATGTGTGTGTGTGGAGTAGAAATACTAGATGTAGATGGCGGTGTAGGTGACGACTTGGATTCTGACGAGGTAATAGATCTTATGGTCTAATAACGGATCTGACATGAGAGAAGGCGATCATGGGACTGGTTGAAGGTCGCCGTTGGCGATGTTTCGCCGATAGTAAGAGAAGGCAACGGTTACCCGACGGTACGAGGCGGTGGATGTATGGTGGTGGAGGTTGGTGGCAACTGGTGGAAATTGTTGTGTTCTTCATGTTTTGGTGGGAGAGGTGGAGAGAGTTTGAAACGTTCTAAAATTATCAAAAGTATCAGATGTTTTTTGTTTTATGAAAATACGAGTGAAATAAAAGTAATAAATAGAAAATAAGTTTCTTAAAAACACTTAAAAAAATCAAAAAAAAAAAAAAAATGAGAAGCAACTTAAAAATAAATGGTTCTTAATATTTAGTGGTTCTCATTTGAGAGGTGGAGAGAGTTTGAGAGGTTCTAAAATTATCAAAACTATCAAATTTTTTTGTTTTATGAAAATACGAGTGAAATAAAAGTAATAAATAGAAAATAAGTTTCTTAAAAACTTTTTAAAAAAATCAAAAAATAAATAAAAAAATGAGAAAAGCAAGTTAAAAATAAATGGTTGTTATGGTTCTTAATATTTAGTGGTTCTCATTTAAACTTATATATATATATATATATATATATATATATATATATATATATATATATATATATATATATATATATATATATTATAATATATTATATATATTATAATATATATATATATATATCGGGTTAGGGAATATACATTACAGCCCCATATAACCTTAGCTACAAAACCCTCAAACGACGTCGCTTTGGCTTAAATTTTTAAATCCCTGATTTTGGAAAACAACTAAAATCACACATCGATTTGGTACTTGGGGTGTGTGTGGTCGTAAAAATCAAAACAGACGAGGAGATGGGAGCTGATTCGGAGCATGAAAAGGATGATTAAGAGCATTTGGCTGAAAGAATCGAGACACCAGGGTATAAATCGATCGCACATAGATTCTCGTTTATCCTATGTTGTTGTGTGGTCACGGGAACACAAAAAATGAGGTGGCGCTGACCGCCAGAGAGGGTAGCAGCGACATCCAGTTGGAGGTTGTCGGAGAAAGGTTTCCCACTCAGCTAGGGTTTAAGATATTATGTATTGTCTTTGTAAGTTCGACATTAAGCTCGATTGTAGTTCTTCTACTGACCTATTGTAGGTTAATGCGATAGTGCTGAGTATCAAAATCAGAAACTTGTCTAGCAATAAAATGTCCAGAAGCAGGAATTACATGATCTAGAAGATAAAATTAAAGAATTAAGATATGAGCAAACTTCTTATGATGACATTTTTTTTTATCAAAATCAACCAACTATGGCGACAGGTGACTTCTTATTTCAAAATTCCTTTATAATTTGCATTTTAGTTTTTAATTGAACACCTTTTTTTTCAAGCTGATCATTTTTTCATGAAAAATCATATTTTGAAGGTTGGTTTTGCCCTTATTTTGGAGAATTCATATAAAACGAGATAATAGGGTATCAAATTAATGGTATTATGAATTCATTTAAAATCATCTTTTGAAAGTTGCTTTTTCCCTTATTGAGTGTTATACCTTTTTTTGTTAGACTATCAAGTATTTCAACAATGAGAAATTTGAGGCGGAAGTAGCCTGATAGCAACAATGGTACTGAGTTCAAATGGTATTATGAATGGGACGAACCAGATGTAATTTCTTAGAAGAAAATCACGTAAAAAATATGAAAAATAAATCACAATCCTGCAGAATAAAAGCACGCAGCAAAATGAGATTCACCAAGAATGGGACGAACCAGATGCAATTCACAAACACAACTTAATTGACGAAATACAAAAAAATTAAACAATACGTGATTTCTTAGAAGAATTACACGAAAAAAAAATTGGAAAAAAAAATCACAAACCTGATTAGAAGAAAATCACGCAGCAAATAGAGATTCACCAAGACTAGGACGAAGTAGATGCAATTCACAAACCAAACAAAAAAAGAAGGAACAATCGGGAAAATCTATTGAAAAAAATCACGTATTGCTACGGGATGATGAGTTTTTTGTTCAGGAAATCACGCAGCCATTTTTTTGGAATGTACTCTAGCAAAACGACGTAGTTTTGAGGGTTTAGTAGCTAAGGTTATATAGGGCTGTTATATATATATATATATATATATATATATATATATTATATATATATATATATATATAATATATATATATATATATATATATATAATATATATATATATATATATATATATATATATATAGGAATGTTCAATTGAGAAAAAAAAAGGTTGAGAATAGGGAATCATTCTCAGCCAATCATTTATTTTTGCCGCAAAAGCTTCCAACGTACCGACGGAAATGGGAAAGCAATGCACGTGTGTTTTCCAACAAAACATATTTCCTTAAACTATGCTAATCATTACCTTAATATATACAAAAACATAGTTTTTTTTTCGTTTTTTAAAAATTTTTAGAAGCTATTTTTATTAAAAAATGATTTTCAATATACCAAAATTCATGGTTTTTTATTCTCTACAAATAGACATCCATATTGATATAGTTTTAAGATAAAATAATTTTTTTATATATTTTCAACTATCATTATTCATAAGTGAATAAAATGCATCAAATTTTATTACAGTACATTCGTTATTCACTTCTAAATAAAAAGTATGATTTTTTTTTTTTTTTACAATTTAAGTATCATTCATATATGAATATAACATATAATAAACATAGTATATTCATATTTTAATATTGGACGATCCATTCACTTGTGAATATTAACATAGTATATTCATTTGTGAATATTAGATGATATATTCACTTATGAGTATTAAATAATATTTCATATGTGAATATTACATACTATATTCACTTGTGAATATTAGATGATATATTCACTTATGAATATTACAGAGTATATTCACATATGAATATTACAAGGTATATTCACTTGTAAATATATTCACTTATGAATATTTGAAGGTATTTTGACAAATATATATATATATATATATATATATATATATATATAATTTTTATATGTTATTCACATATGAATAACTTACAGACTTGTATATTTGTTTTGTGTTTTTAATAATAATATACTGATTCATGTGAGAAAACATATTTATATGTGAATATAACGTGGTAATTTAGTTTATGCATTTAATCAAACAGTTGGAGTGCATACAAGTTAATTATTTTAAAAATGTTAAAAACATCAAGTTATCAATCCAAATCATCATATACTTCCGATTTCGACTTCGGATGCGACATCCTATGTCTTATCGATTTCTCATTTTGATTTTGATTTCCGAAAATCCGATTGGGAACCTGTGAGTACCGATTATGAGTCCTTCAATGTCGACTGTGACTGTGAGTCCAGAACTCCGATTCCAATTTCATGAACAGCGAAGAAATTCCGGTTAATTGAAGAAATCTAGATGATTATTGAAGGTTGGAGCGAAATTTTGATGATGAGCGAACTGTTATCGATACATATTTAAGATTGAAGGTTATTAATATATTTACAAGTTTGTCATCATATCTTTTTATGATTAGATTAAATATGTGGCTGAGAATGATTTCCCCCATTTTCAATCTTTTTTATTTTCTCAATTGAATATATATATATATATAATATATATTATATATATTATATAATATATATTATATATATATATTATAATATATATATATATATATATATAAAGTTGATTGATAGGTATCCGATCCGTTGTATAAAGAATTATGATATCACACATTGTAAATAAACTAATTTCCCACGTGGACAAGAGAGAGATTATTTATGTTTGTATGTATGCTTTTTGTTTTGTTGAGGCAGTGGTTGTACCACATATTTTTTAAATAGTTTCATCAAATCTATGATATATTCTAAAAAAATAAATATATTGGAGCTAATTATATCCACAAGGATTTTTAGATAAATTAAGTATTCATCTACTTTTTGTTCTTATAAATTTTCCTACTTAATTAAATAATAAATTTTCCTATTTAATTAAATAATAATATGTGTAATATTTTTGTTCTAATAAATGTTATCATTTAATTGAGTATGATGATTTATAAGAATAAAAGTAAGATAAATTAAATATCCTTCTACTTTTATTCTTATAAATCTTTCTACCAACATGTATAACATTTAATATTTATTTAATAATAATTTAATATATTAATATAATATATATTGAGATTTAATTGATTAGAAACATTTATAAGAATTAAAGCATTTATAAAAATAAAAGTAGAAGCATATTTAATAATAAAGAGCACATGCACATCGGCCATTGCAAAACTAACCACCCTACATAATCATGACCCACTCGTTCACCTACCCCATTAATTACATTTATAAGGATTTGTTAGTATGCTAATAATTAAATTTATAAAATCAAGATAATGTTGCATTGATAAGATAGAAGTTTTATATATTTTTTTGAAACAAAAGAGAAGATTTAATTAATGCATGATCACTAACTAGGCAGTAAAAGAAATTTGACTTATTCATTTATAACGTCGGAAACCATAAGAAAAAATGGAACGAAACTAACAAAAAGTAAATCCTGTTGGTAGTTTATTCACGACAAAGACAAATTAAAAATTTAAATTCATACTTTGGATCTTTCTTCCATCGAGGAGTTTCACATGTCGGAGAGAGGTGTTGAGAAAACTGGGATACTTTGTGGGTGCCTAAAGAAATTCAACGGATCAACTTTAGCCTTGATTCGAATCAACTTCTTGAAATTATCCCTCTTCCAGTACCTTTCACCCCACAGACTTGCTTCTTCATAATTATCACTTCCAACACCAAAATCAAGATCATTGTAGTTGAAATATGCCTCCCTCGGATTCTTTGACACATAAGGCGTCAATAACTCATCCAAACTTTGAAGCCATGCTATCCTCCTAAGTGATACAGGGGTTGTGTCCGAAGCTTGACCATTAAAATTAACACTCTTGAGAATTTGTAACAAGACTCCAGCTCTATGCGGATATGGAATTGCTGTCTCTGAGAAATCAGCAATCCTTCCACCAAAAGGATTGATCATAAGAAACGCTGATTGGTCGTTTTCCATGAGCTTTCTCCATATCTTTTTGAGCCCACTTATGGGGATTGGTTTCCGTACGTAATCGGATTTACTTTTGTTGTTAATCTTAGCTATGGCTGATCGGTTCGTGAGAATCTCAGTTGGGGTGGAGCTTGGCAATCCCCAGAACACAAGGGTCGACTGCACCATTTTAATTTCTTCACAGATTTCTCGTGTAACACCAAGCTCCGGAAACTTTTCGTCCAGCAATGGAAGCAATGTGTCGGTTGTGCCTTGATATATTCCTTCGAACATAATTCTGACGGTTTTCTTGGTAGTGTTGCCGATATATTCACCGAACACCTGTGTTCTCATGTGTAAATTTCTATCAATAGCTGGTATAACGGTTTGATATTTATGGAAGAGTTCTGTTGCCCCTTGTTCCAAAGTTTTATTCAGTAAAAAGACAGTTACTTTTTCTGGAACTGCAACCAACCTCAGCTTCCATGCAAGAACGATTCCGAAACTGGAAGCACCACCTCCTCTAATCGCCCAAAACAAATCTTCTCCCATGGACTTCCTGTCAAGAATATTTCCATTGACATCCATGAAGCGAGCATCCAGAACATTATCAGCAGCAGTACCGTATTTCCTCAACAGGTTTCCATAGCCACCGCCACCCATGTACCCACCAACACCCACCGTGGGGCAAACACCGGCCGGGAAATATAAGGTATCGGTTTTCTGAGAAATAGCGTAATAAAGTGCACCAAGTGCAGCCCCTGCTTGGACCCACGCAGTCCTGTTTGCTACATCCACGTCGATAGACCTCATGTTGGTGAAATCAAGCATAACAAAGGGAACATCAGCAGTGTATGAGAGGCCCTCGTAGTCATGGCCCCCACTTCTGATCCTTAGCTCGTACCCATGTTTCTTGGAACAGAATAGAGTCGTTCGGACAAGTGTTTCGTCTACGGGTGTCACGATGACTGATGGCTTACGAGTGGAAGGTTTAAGGAATCTAGTGTTTTGGACATGAACTTGCCAAGTGGGTAGGAAAGAAGCATTGCGAGAGGTAAAAGTGACTTGAGATATGGAGGTAACATTATTGGAGTGGGATTGTAGGCAGCCTACGAAATCTTGAGAACCTGGTGTAACCTCAAGAATGGAAGATAATGCTGCCCATGACACAGAAAATGAAAGAATAAAAATAAAGAGGAAGACAGAAGAGTTTAGTTGAGACTTCTTCATGTTTTGGTGAGTTTGATTTTATGACTATGACATATTTATAGACTTCAAGGAATAGAGATCATTGCAGGTGGTGAATACAAATAGGGTAGGTAATAGGAAGCTCCATGGCAATCTTCAAATCCTTATGGCCTATGGGCACTCTTTGAAATGTACTCACTGACATAGGAGTTGTTTTTTTCTTATTTTATAATATTAACATTTCATTTTTAAATTATTGTTAGTCAAAGAAATTTATTAAAATAAAATAAAATTTATTAGTGTTTACTATCGATGCAATTGAATATTGTTCTGTAATCTTGTTAATAATATGATTTTTGAAAATGATACTGATTTTTATTCATATATTTCTTATATTATATTTATCTTATATCATAATATGAAAGAATATTAATCTGAGATTTTAAATAAATAGAGAACCTAATTGAAATATTGTAATAGATAATATACAATTTTTTTAGCACGGCAGATAATATACAAATGATGGTCTAAAATAGTGCGAAGTTTGGCGATAGTTAGCGGGTCAATATGAATATATGATTGTTACGTAACATGCGTTCACACCCAAACACGTGATAAAAGTCTTGATAAATAGTTCTTAGAAGGGTTAACCTGTGAATAAACGCTGAAAATTCATATTATTATATGAATAACTTTCTGCTTTTGAATCTTTGAATAATTTAATTTTAGATAAAATTGTAAAAATGGTTTGTATGGTTCGTAAAATTATATGGTTTTGGTCTAAAAAGTTTAGTAGCATAACAATGAATCTTTTTATTTGTTTTGGTTCCTATTCACTTAATTATACCCTTATGATTTATATTTTGTATTTTTTTAATTATTGAAATACATAAATTAATTTAATTTACATTTTTTCGAAAACAAAAAATCCACGGTACTCATTTTCCCTTCCTTGTCTACAACCTTCATCAGAAAACACTCCTAAATCATCGGCATCGTCTGCACCAACCTTCCACTACCGGCAATATTCTGTATCGCCTTTTCTCCCTCCTTGAACACGTCAATGCATTCTTTTCTCTACATCCTTGATGAGTATAGAATTGTTATCCCCAACATCTGGCCTGCCTCCTACACATTCCTTCTGTGTAAGGAAACAAAGAAATTTTTTGTACTCTAAATTCCTTATACCTCAATTTGAAATCAACAACGAAGCTCAATAGTGGTGGATTTGAAACCATGAAGCAAAATCGATTTACTACAAACCCTGTTTTCTATCTTTCCTAACTCAATGTGGGTGTCACTTTTGAAGAGTTTCCACCATGGATTTACAAGTGCATGTGTGTCGATTTCAAGCTTTTTTTTTTCAATCGTTGATGAAGGATGTCAATCTTCGTTACAACAGTTGAAGGAAGACAGAAGTGGCAACATAGAAGACATGATGTAGGTGGCGATAGAGATACAAATTTCGATCTAGAAATTCTTTGTCTCTATTGTCTCTTTCTTATGTTGGTACCACTTTGAGACTTGTATATAAACAAGCGTTGATTGACCCACCTCCAGTCCCTCCTTACTTCACCCCTGCATTTTCCAAATCTATGGTACACAAACCCTAGCCACCGCATACCTAAATAAATCTGCATCTTTACGGTAGGGTTCATCTTGATGGTGATGATGCAGGTGGCTGGAATAAAGAGTTCGAAATAGACGGAGGTTGTAGGGAGATGTTCGGTTGATGTGGTGGTAGTGTCCCGATGTGATGACAATGGTTGTTTGTATTAGTGTATATATTTTGTATTATTTGTATAGCCCATTTAGTTAGCCCAGTTTGTTAGAATAGCTAAATCTAGCCCATAATCTTTGTATCTTGTATCTATTTATTCTTGAATGTTTCGTGAGCTAATCAAGGGAAAATATCATTCTAATATGGTATCGGATTAATTCCCTCTTATTTCTCCCTCTCGAACCTGCAAGCCATCAGACCTCTGTTTTCTTCTTTCATACCCTCCTCATCTTCTTGCATAACTTCTTTGTCTATCATGGGTACAGACGCCTCAAGCTCTAGCACATCATCAAAAAATCAGAAGCCATACGGTGTCTCAAACATCAAAACCTTTATTCCTTTGATTTTGGATCTTAATCAACTAAATTATGACGCACATAGAGAGTTATTTGAAACCCACTGTCATGGTTTTAGTGTTCTTGGTCATCTAGAGGGTTCATCTAAACCCACTTCTACATTCGATGAAGATTGGTATAGCCTTGATGCTGTGGTCAAAAGTTGGATCTATGGCACCCTTACGCAGTCTCTCCTCAATACCATCCTCAAACCCGGTGCCACCTCCAACTCTGTTTGGGTAAGCCTTGAAAACCTGTTTCATGATAATAAACATACTCGCTCTGTTGAAATTAATAATGAATTACAAGCCATAACTTTGGGTGACCAATACATATGTGATTATTGTGAAAAAATCATTACTCTTTCTACTCTCCTCGCCAATCTTCAAAACCTAGTACCTAAAAGAACTTTAGTTACTCACCTTCTCAATGGTCTTTCACCCCAGTATGAACCAGTTGCTCTACTCCTACGCCACAAAGACCCCTTCCCTTCATTCCTCCAAGCCCGATCAGCCCTTGTGGACGAGGAGCAACGCCTCAAGAGAACTCGCCCACAACAACAACCATCGCATACTGATAATGCCTCTTCACCGACGGTTCTCTAAACCGCCGATCAGACCCAATGCTCTAGTTGTTCTCGTGGTGGTCGCTCATCATGTGGTGGTCGTAACAATGGCGGAACCAAGAATTTTGATATGGGGTACAAAGATTGTCAATAGATATTATATGTAGTTATCCAATACCGGGCATTAAAAAACATGTTATAATCTCTCTTTAGTTGGGGGTACAATAACATGAAAAATGTTTATAAATAATATTATATATATATATATATATATATATATATATATATATAATTTTTTGGGGGTACTGCAGTACTCCCAACGCCCCATCTAGCTCCGCCACTGGGTCGTAATGCTCGTGGTAGTCATCCATCTAATCTCGCTGCTCCCTCACAAAACCAAATACCTCATTACCCATGGATTGTTTACCCATTGTGGCCACCATACACTTGGGCTAATCCTACCTACTGGGCCACCTACCGACCCGCTAAACCAACTCACTTCAATCAGTATCGTAAACCAGCCCCACAGCAGCCTCATGATGGCCTTTTGGGCCCCAGTCTGTCGACTCCAACAACACCACAGGCTGTGTTTCACACCACCAACTCACCTGGTCTTGCTACTCTGTAACAGTGGTTCCCTCCAATGACACAAGACCAGCCTACTGGCTACTGATCTTGCCCAGGCATACAATTCCATGTCTCTACATGATGGATCTGATGCATCATGGTACATGGATACTGGAGCTACTTCACATCTTGCCTCTAGTGTAACATCCCGAAATATCAAGAGTAGAGTTGAAGGGCTAAAAGAGTAAATTGGGAAAGAGTGACTCGGCGAGTAGAGTCGCGACCTGGTCGCGTGTTAAGTGGCCGACTCGGCGAGTCAGTGTAATGGACTCGGCGAGTAGGCGTTGAGTGGAGAAAACCCTAATTCTCGGGGTTGAGCCTTATATAAAGATCACTATGTTTTCCTCCCAGCCTCTTTATCACCCCTTGAGCCCCAGAAAACCCTAAATCACGGAGAAGCACCATTGTTGAGTGGATTGGAGCTTGGAGAAGTAATGGTTGAAGGAATTTTGGGAAGATTGAAGGCTTGGAGCAAGGGGATTTGCTTGGATTTGAATTTCATTGCAGTTGGGGCATCACTTAGAGGTAATATCTCGTTATTGACCTGTTGTTATGTTGTTTCTTCATTTTGGGGTTTGTGAGAAATTGTCTATGGATGAAATGGGAAGTCTAGAGGTTAGATCTGAGGTTGTTACCTCAGATATGGAAGGGAGAAGAATCAGAGAGCATGAAAGTCCCTGTGTTGGAGTGTTTAGTGAAGCTTACATGTCCCAAACCCTAGCCCCAATGTGCAAACGGCTTAGATCTCTTTGGATTCACGTAAAGTTTGCCACTTTACGTGATGGATGGGTTGTAGGAGGCTAGATCTATGTTTTGGATCAATTGCATGGCCTGGAGTGCTTCTGAATGGATTCAGAACGGTGGTACTCGGCGAGTCACATGGGTCGACTCGACGAGTTGCTTGAAGATGGCCTGGAACTCGACGAGTTGGAAGAACAACTCGGCGAGTAGGTTGAAGATAGCCTTGGACTCGACGAGTCTTGTCGAAGAGTCCCAAATATTCTCTGGTTGAGCCTAGAATCGGTGAGTCGAGGGATGACTCGGTGAGTCGAGTGCGAGTGGACTCAGAGTTGTTGGACTCGGCGAGTCTCGGGGTGACTCGGCGAGTTAGGTCGCAGATTGAATAAAGTTCTGATTATGGGAACTCGACGAGTCACAGGGTTGACTCGTCGAGTAGGGTCAGTCAGGGGTTGACTTAGACTGAGGACTTTGATTTCGACCAAGGGTTGGCCGTTGACTTTTAGGGTTTGGTCAGCGATGTGGCCTTTGGGCCAAGAGAGAGGTAAAATAGTCTTTTAACCATAAGAGGGTGTTATGAGAGGATTTATTCTAGTCTCGAGAGTTATATTCATGAGAGTATTTGCCTTACGTGTTAGGCGGTGGCGAGTTCGAGATTCAAGTGTGGGGATATCTGCTTCCTGCTTGCCAGGTGAGTCTTCTCACTATACTTTACCTTGAGTAGGTAACCAGAGTTATGTGATTAGAGTATTTGTATGCTATATGTACGTGATGTGTTGTACTGCATTATTTCTATGTGATTTATGCTGTGCATGTTTATAGAGTTGGAACCGGAAGGTTCCCAGAGTTAGAACCTGAGGGTTCACAAAGTTTGGGTGCACGGACCCACAGAGTTATAGTCTCGAGTGGCTAATATGTGTTATGTGTGTTATTTTGGGGAACTCACTAAGCTTCATGCTTACAGTGTTTTGTTTGATGTTTTTCAGGTTTCTTTCAG